GGGGTTCAAACTCCGCGTGGCGTACAAAAGCGCCCCTCCGGGCTCTACACATTCCAAAGCCGCTTTTAGAGTTTTGCACAAACGCGAAAAGCCCTCGCCGAGGGGCCGGACGCGAAAAATAAAGGAATCCGCTGCGGGAGGGTCCTCCAAATCCGCCCGAGGCCGCACACCATCCTCGGACGTGTGCGGGGTAAAAAGAACCACCCGACAGCCTCGACGAAGCCCCCGACAGGGCGAAAAGTCCCACGGGGAATCCCGCCCATCCCGCACAAACGCGAGATTCGGGGCCTGATCGGCCAAACTAATCGGAAAGGGAAGGGGGGGAGGGCGTGAGGGAAAGGCCGCGATCACGACAATCGAATCCCCCCCTGCGGCTGTGAAACATCCCCTGTCCTCTTCCCCTTCGAATGACCGTGGTGGGAGGGGCCCACGGGCGTAATTCACGACATCGCGATAATAGGAGCCGCGCGCGAAGGCGGGGGATTCCCCCCCGCGCGACGGCCCCGGCGGGGCGCCGAAAACGTCAAAAATGACCGCCGGGCCGCCCCTCTTTTCTTTCTTTTCCCCTTTTTCCCCCGCCCGCGCCCACCCCACCGCCAGGCGGGCGAGGATCGGGCCGAGGACGTCCACCCCCGTGAGCACCCCCGCGGCGACCTGCCGCTGGAGCCAGTGAAGGTGCCCCTGGGACGGGGCGTGGGTGGGTTGGGGGAGAAGAAATCGAATGTTTTCTGCCGTTTTGGCGTGGGGTTCGGTATTGGGGGTGAGTTCCGCCTTCGGGGAGGGGCCCTCGGCTTCGGCTAAACCCCCAAGGGGGGAAACGCCCCCGTTGGGCCCCCCCGCGGGGTCCTCTGAGGCCTCCCGGGGGTCGATCGCCTCGCCGGATTCGAGCAGGGCGTCCATAAAACTCCCCACCGCCCCGGCGGCGGCGGGTTCCGAGGGTAAAAATCGCGGCGTTTGGTCCGACGGGGGGATCGCCCGAGCCCTCAAAACGCGCGCCGGGCCGAATAAGCCGTCCGCCGAGTCCACCGAGGCCATAAAAACGCTATAAATCAGCGGATCAAAGGTTCGCTGGAAGACCGTCCCGGTCGAACCCCCCAGGTGGCGCTCGAGCTGATCCCGCAGCACCAAACGGCTCAAAGGGCGCTCGCCGTTGATCTGAAAAAGGCCGAGGCCCGGCTGCCGCATCGCCTCCACAAACGCGTCCCGCTCGGCCTCGGCGATGAGGCCGTTTTGGATGTAAAAGTCCGAAAAAAAACGCCGATGCGCCTCGCGCCGCGCCGTTTCGCGGGCGTCGTCCGATTGCCACTCCGGCAGCCCCCAATCGTCCTCCCCGTCCGCCCCGTCCACCTCCTCGCTGGCGACGGCGGCGAGATTCGCAAAAAAGTCCTTCGCCAAGGCGAGCGTCGGGATGGGGCGCTCGCGGCGATCCGCCGCGCTTTCCGCCTCGAGAAAGTCCGCCGCGGCCTCGTCGGATGAGAACGAAATCGCCTCGGGAGCGCCCTCGCGATCGCGGTCGTCGGGCGGGCTGAGCAATTGCACCGGCGTCGCCTGGCGCCACGTGCCGTGGAGGATTTCCGCCTTCTCCGCGGCCGTCAGGCGGTGGAAATTATTCCACGACCGCCGCAGCCTCGGGGCTGGCAGGGCGGTGAGGGACTTGGGCAGACGATGACCTTTTAGATGAAAACCCCCAAATGCGCGGCGAAACATCACGACCCCCGTAGCCCAATGTGCGGATATTCTCATCAATAAATCGATAGGTGGGTGTGAAAATAACAATAAATAGGTGTGAAAGATGAAAACAGGAAAAGAAAATAGTCGCGGGAATAAATTGCGCCACAGGCGCAGACACACACCGTTTTGCACTAGGGAATGAGGGCCATTGGTCCCTCGGGGGGTATTGGTTGTATTGAGAAGGACCATATAAAATACAACTATTCCAAAGAAATGCCTCAATCTGGCTTCGTAGGCTTTTCCCCTGACAAACGGAGAACCCCAAACCAACACACACACCAAAATAAAAGAAATCAGACCAGCGATAAAGATTGCACACCCAAAGCGCATCGCGCCTCTCGCGGACGTTCCAAGTATTTCAAACGTTGTGGGTTCGCTGCCATCGGCAAAAGGAGACCGCGCGCTTCTTTGGGATTATTCCCCTTGCGGGTTCGCCTGATGGGTTGGGTTGGTTTTGGGCGATTCCCTCGATCGAAGGACCCCGGCGCCGACGCAAACGCACGCCAGGGCCTGCGCATCCCACAACGGGTCGTGAGGACGATTAATCGACCGGACCTCCTTGGCCGTCGAATCGCACGACGCGACCCGCTCCAAAACCTCTGAGAGCCCGGGGATCTTCTTCTCCACCTGAATAAATCCGGCCCCTGAAAAGTAGGAGCTTTTTGTGAGGTCCAGCACTTTGGCCTGAAAGGGCGACAAAAGAACATCCGTCGGGAGCTGCGGGATCGAAATGGGCCCGGCAGGGCGAAGGTGATCGCCGTTCGCCGAAAGCGATTCGGGGCGCAGGCGGTACTTTTGTTGGTAGGTCGCACAGCTCAGCTGGAGGGTGGTGGCCAGGACCTTCGCATCGACATTGCCGTAGGTGTAAAATTTGCCCCCCCCGCCGCGGAAGAGAAGGCGGGCCCAGGTCTGATTCAGCGCCTCCGAAAAGGCCTCGAGGGAAGGGCAGGCCTGATAAAAAAGCGGCGTGGGCCGCCCCGGGGCGGGCTCGCCGGCGCTGAGGGTTAAAGGGTAGCGCTGCGCGCGATAAACCGCCTCGACGCTTTCGAGCTCGTCCGAGACGAGGGCCGCGCAGTCGCGCAAGAACTCGCACCACCGCCCCGCGCTCGCAAAGGAAGCGTGCAGGAGGGCCTGCGCGAATTCGGGGTAATAATGCCATAGAAAACTCAGCGCCTTTTGCTTGCCTTTCCCGCGGCCGTAGGCCCGGATCCGCGAAACCGCCTCGACAGCCTCGGCGAAGGCGGAGGAGTCGGTCGGGGCCGTGTACAGGCGCCGCAGCGCGTCCTCACCCAGCACGCCGACGTTCGGGATCGAAAAGGGGTCGAAGCCCTCGAAATGCCGCGCGATGGCGGCGCGAATTTGAAGCCGCCGGCGTAGGGCGATCTCCGCCGGCGAAAGCGCGCGACGCCCGGCCTCAAGCGGCAGAAAATCCGAACGCGACGCGTCGGATTCCGCTAAATCCGCCGCCTCGGCGGCCTCGTCGGGGTCGTCGAGGGGGATGGCCCCCGACATCGGGGGCGATTCGCAGCCCCCGGGCCCCTTCCGCGCGCCGAGCGCGCGCCGCATCGCGCAAAACCCCTCCCAGGCCGCCTCGGACTCCCCCAAAAAGGCGCTTTTGAGCCCCGCCAGGACCTCGGCGGGCGGGAGGTGGGCCTGGAGGTGGGGGTAGAGCCGGTGGCCGCAGGGCAGGACCTCCGCCGTCCGCATCACG